GGGGGGGGGCATCAGAACCAGTGGCCACTGAGTCGACCCTGAGTCATGACGCCCCTTTTGTGCCAGTAGAATTTGGCTCGGTAGGGTTTGGATGACGGTTTGGGGGTTGTTTTCTGTTCCACGTAGACCGGCAGCCCTGTCTTCTGTGTGGACTAGAACTTCCAAACTCCTCAGTCCTTGGTGCCACCCGGAGGACACCTCAGCCTGTGCGAGTCGGGGTCCAAAATGCCAGACCTCCTCGAACGACCTGGTGCGATAAAACCAAAACCAGGCTCACTGCCATAGAGTCCCTTGGGGGCTCATAGCGACCAGAGGCCAGGGTAGAACTGCTCTTGTGGGGTTGGGAGTCTGTAACTCTTTACTGGAGTAGAAAACCTCGTCCGTGGTTTCCAACAGCTAAGTTAGAGGTTGGCCAGCTAACGTAACCCCTATAAATAAGAGTCGCGCACCCTGGGACCATGTCCCTCGGGCTCCTGCTCTCCGAGTAACGTCTCAAAGGTCCCTCCATGCAGCGCGTTAACGGGGCTGCTTTCCGTTGCGTGACAGAAGAACATTCCTCGCCACATTGGGTTTGTCCGTTCATCTTATCAATGGGCACAGGGCAGGTTGCCTCTCATTGGTTACTGTGAGTAGCTCAGTTATGAACAAGCCTGTACAGGTGTTTTGCACGAACATGTTTTCCATTCTCTTGGGTTACATGCCAAGGGGAGGAATTGCTAGGTCCTGTGGTAAGCCAGGAGCCCCTGTGGTGGTGTGGTAACACACTGCGCTATGACCTACACGGCCCGCAGCTAAGGGGGAGCAAGACTGGGCTTTCTACTCCCGTCTTGGAACCCCACAGGGGGTCGCTCTGAGTCAGCAGTGACCTGATGGCAGAGTTAGGTTTCAGACCGGGGTTTAGACTGGCGTAGTGGTTATGTGTTGGTTATGTGGTGATGTGCAAGGTCAGCAGTTCAAGACTACCAACCCTCCCACCGGAGAAAGACGAGACTTTCTATTCCCATAAAGAGTTGCAGCCCTGGAACCCCACAGGGGCAGGGCTACCCACGTAGGGTCACTATGAGTTGCATGGACTCAATGGCAGTGTGCTTGGATGGATGATCATTCTAGGCTTCAGGGCTATACCCTTTAACCTTCTCACCAGCAGTACTCCATGGCTCTGGTCCCTCCTCGTCCTCCCCAATGTTTGTTCGTTTCTGCTGCTAATGTTTTTATCACGATGATCGTCATCCTAGTAGGTGTGCAAGGTCCGTGGGTGGCAACAGGAGATGCAATGGATGACTGACCTAAAGGTTGGCCATTTGAACTGTCCAGCGGCATCACTGAAGAAAGCCCGGGAGGTCTACATTCCCCAAAGATTGCAGCCAAGACAGCCGCCTGGAGCCCAGTGTTATCTGCCATGCAGGGGCTTACGGAGTGAGTCAGGGTTTTCACTGTGGGTTTGGCTCGCATTGCCCTGCTGACTAGAGGCATGCAGTCTCTTCCTGTGGGGGGACCATCCTGTGTGTCTTTGAAGAGGTGTCTATTCAAGTCTTTTGCCCGTATTCTGATCGGTTTGCTTGTCTTCTTGTTGAAGCACGAGAGTCCCAGACCACTCCAGGTTCGGCCCTTCTCGGATACTTGCACGCCATCTGTGAGCCCCTTTCCCATGCTGTAGGTTAGGGTTTGGGGTTCTTGACGCTACACTTGGCTGCACAAAGTCTTTGGATTTGTATCACATCCAGTTCGTCCGTGTGTTCCCCTCTTGTTGCGGGAGCCGGGTGTGGTGTCACCACTGTCTGTTCTGTTGCAAGTCCCACCCCCTTCCCTGCGTTGACTCCCCGGGGCTGTCACTCTCTTCTCGTAAACTCAGTATAATGCCCTGTGCTTCTCCGCAAGGGCAGGGGCTTTTGTCCAGTCTGCCCTCAGCTCTCTTCCCGTGGGCTGGAACAGAGCTTGGCACGCAGCAGGCGCTAACTTAATGTTTGTTCAGTGAACGTTGGCGGTGAGATGGAGGAAGACCATCTACCGTTTCCTTCAAAAGTCACCTGCCCCAGGTTTGGGACCCGAAAGGATTCATTCCAGATAGGATAACTGAACAGTTGGGCCCCCGTAGTGCCCGGTGTAGGGGGGTGGTGGCTGGGGGGCCGGGGAACCTCTTGGGGAGGGTCTCAGAAGGGCTTGACCAGTAGAGCAGACACATCTCTGAATACCCCTTCCCCTTTCTGTTCATGAAACCGAACATTTTTCCTTAACTCCCGGATACTCCCTTTGAATATATGATTTTAGCCACCATCATAGCAAACTGCATCGTCCTGGCTCTGGAGCAACACCTGCCTGATGATGACAAGACCCCCATGTCGGAACGACTGGTGAGTGGCACCTCTGGGGGTGGGGGGGTCTCTGCTGGCCTGGTGAGGGATGGGGGAGGGGAAGCCAGGGCCAGAGGGCACTCTCAGGCTTGAGATCCAGATTGTCCCCGCCCTCAATCCTTGCAAAGCTTCACGACCACCCAGCATCCGGAGAGCAAGAGCTGTCCTCGTGGGACATCCCCCACGCCCAACACCCAGCAGGGGAGGGATGAGTGACAGGCAGTGACATTGTCCAAGAAGACGTCACATTTAAAACAGAAGGCTTGCGAAGGGTTTGTGAAAGGGAGAGAGAAGAGTACAACGTGCCCCCTCACCCCCCCACCCCACCCCCCCGCTCCCTGACACACAGGCAAGCTCACCTCCACACACTTGAGTCTGCCGGACCACATCAGAGGACCGACGTCTTCCTCCATAACCACTGGGTTAACACCGGCTCCCTGGAAACGCCTGAGACTCCGCCTGGAATCAGATGCCCACCATCTATCTCACCCCTGTCTATTTCCCTTGGGCGTGTTCGAACCAGGATCATCCAAGCACGCCTGACCCACTTTGGTGGTTACATCACTTAAGACTCTTCATCCACAGCAGGATTTCCCCTCCTGCCACAGACTTGTGGTCAGAACCAGACCTGCTGCCCTGGGGAAGAGCTAGCCTTCCCAGACGTGACGGCTGCTTCCTTGCCATGCCCTGGAGCTTGGTCCTGTATCCCCTGAGACTCCAGCACATGGGTGTTGGGAGACACTTGAGCCTATTGCTCAGTAAGAGGAACTCTGACCTAGCTGCTGCCCGGCCAGCTGTGGTCCACGGCAGCTCTACAGGTCAGAACCAGGCTCCACGTGGCTTCCAGTGCCTGGCTTTGAGGACGTCGATCTCCAGGCCTTTCTTCCGAGGCACCTCTGAAGGATCTCAACTGGCCAACTGCTTTGCACTTCCCAGGGGTTCAGGAGAAACTCACCTGTTCTAGGAACATTCACTAAGATCCTCTGGATACCTCTTCCCGGCCATCCCCAACTCCCTGCTTTAAAAAACCTGGCTTGTTCTGTTGGTGCCTGTGAGTGAGGAGACTGGTCTCCATTCTCTCACTTCTTCATAACCAGCTGTAATGGCTCAGGTTTGGGGAGAAGGGATGTGAGAAATCGCTCATTCCTACAATGTGCACCAACTATTAGTGGTCTCAAGATTCTATCGTAGTGGTTAGGTGTTGGACTGCCAATTCCAAGGTCAACCGTTTGAAACTCCCAGATGCTCCACAGGAGAAAAATCAGGCTTTTGCTGTTTTTATGTCCATAAGGGAGTTACAGTCTCAGAAACCCACAGGGATTGCTCTACCCCGTTCGGTGAGACGGTTAGCGGTTGGCATCAACTGGATGGCTGTGAGTTTGGGTTTTCTTTTAGAGTTTCCATAACTTAAAAGCCAGTGGTTCTCAACCTTCCTAAGGCCAAGACCCTTTAATAGAGTTCCTCATGTGGTCGTGACCCCCGAACTAAAATAAATGATTTTCATTGCTACTTCATCACTGTCATTTTGCTTCTGTTATGAATCGGGTGACCCTGTGAAAGGGTCGTTCAACACCCCCCCCAAAGGGGTCACGACCCACAGGTTGAAAACTGCTGCTAAAAGAAGACAGCTAGTCCAACAAGCCGATGGAATCCCTGAGCCGCACAAAGAGTTCCTTTACTGAAAGGTTGGAGGGTCGAGTCCACCCCTGTGTGCCTCGGGAGAAAGGCCTGACAATCTACTTCTTAAAAAAGGAGAAGAAAGAATCCACAGAGCACAGGTCTACCCGGACGCACGCAGGGTCACCACAGACTGGAACTGACTTGATGGAAACTGGTCTCACAGCCTCTGATTTCAAGAGTAGGGTTTGTTTGTTTGTTTGTTTGTCTTTTAATGCTTGATGAGTCTAAATAAAAATAGCCTATTGAATGTAGAATAGTAAGCAAATAGTGGTGTAAGCGGCAAGCTGATATGGGAGGGAAAAGGCAATGAAGACAGAATAGGAATGGCTGCCATCAGGGAGATGCAATCCTTGGGGATAAGCAGTTGCCCATGTGGGGTCTCTGATGGCGCTTTCAGCTCTGAGGGATTGTCAGCTGGGGGCGACCAGCAGGAAGGCCTGCAGAGGCCAGGGCTGGGCACTAGCTGATGTCCACCCTCTGCTGAAGTATTCTTTGAAGACGTTGACAACCAGAGAAGCTATGCTTCTCTGTGTGTATAGGTGAGAATCATCTATCGGTTTAAGATTTGAGAATGAGGTGGGGGCATAGGGGCCCACTTTGGCAAGTTACATGGGCCTTTGAAATCTGTGTCAAGTAGAACCTTGGTCATGACAGAAAGGTTCTATCCCTGTGCTGGCCAACATGGCAGCCCCTTGAAACATGGGCAGAGTGACCAAGGAACTGAATTGTTTACCATACATCGTCAAAATGACTTTATATCTACACAACCACCTGTGGCCAGTGGCAACCGTATAGACTGGTGCAGCACTAGACGCGTGGCTTTACTTGGGGCCAGTGGGGCATGAGGCAGGTGTCTTCTCTGGGCTTCTGCTCCTCCTGCAGAAACCTCTCAGGCAAGAGAAGTCTGAGTGGGATGCTGCGTGGAGTGGTGAGGGCTGGGGAGGTGAGGGAGGTGAGGGAGGGAGACACCTTCTCCAGGTGGAGACTTTCTCTCTGCCCAACCAGAGATGCCAACCTTGCCTTCTCTCCCTTCCAGGATGACACAGAGCCGTACTTCATTGGAATTTTTTGTTTCGAAGCTGGAATTAAAATCATCGCCCTTGGGTTTGCCTTCCACAAAGGCTCCTACCTGAGAAACGGCTGGAACGTCATGGACTTTGTGGTGGTGCTCACGGGGTAAGTACCACATATTTAGACTTGTCTCACCGAGGGAGATGGAGGGCTTTGGTTGGGCATGGTCCAGGCTGGGCTCACCGAGGCAGAGAGCCCTTTGGTCTGTTGTGTGAAGCTACCTCCTTCTCCCATCTCTTTCTGCTACACCGAGAATATATGCTATATAATTTTTTAAATGCTATATATTTTTTAAAGGCGTGCTAGCTTCTTATAGTTGATTGGTTCCAAAGAGCTTTGCCTACATCCTCTCATCAAATCCTCACAATCTAATGAATTAGGAGATATTCATATTCCCAGTGTAACCTTGGAAGATAACACGAGACCAAGTAGTGCCTTGTTCTCTTAGACACCAGGTCTCCATGAGTCAGAGTCCACTGGACAGCAACTAACAACAACAATATTCCCATCTGGCCACTGAAGCCCAAAGAGTCACATTGTAGGATTGCCCAGCTAAGAAGGGGTGGAGCTGGGTTTTGAATCAGGGCTTTGAATGGGTTCGGCTGGATTCAGTCACAGTCGATGAAATGACATTGAGACAGACCCAATTTTTTTAAATGTGGGTGAACCACAGCAATATCTCAAAAACAAACAAACAAACTTACTGCCATTGAGTGAATTCTGACTCACAGGGACCCTTTACAGGAGTGGAAATCTTCTGCCTCCCAAGAAGAAGCTGGTGGTTTTAAACTGCTGACCTTGAGGTTAGCAGCCCAATGCATAACCACTACACCACCAGCTAGAATGGGAAAAATTCCAGGTAGAAGTCCTACTATAAACTTCATCTCCCTCTTAGAAAACAAGGGAAAGGTGCATGTTGCCCAGCAGCCAAATCTCGTGACTAACTGAGTTGAAAACAACAGTGCCCGGCTCAAAGATGGCAGGTGACCCTACAGCTCTGACTGTGTGCCGCCCTCCACGGCCCTGGCAGCAATTCAGTGTCAAACATCAGCTTCCTGAAGAGATTCACCATACTTCTCCCTGTTCTCTCATTCCAGGCTCCGGCCTGTGATTTACTTCATTCTGGTTAGTGTTCTAGATGACTCAAATTTTTAAAAATCTAGTCTGGTTTCTCTTCATCATCCACAACCGAACCGGTTCAAACTGGTTCAAGGCTCTTCGTTCAACCCATAATTCTATGGTTTGAGAGCTCGGGTTTTAAACTACCGTGCTGTGCATGCGTGTCTCTTTTGATGGGTATCTAGAGGTCTTGCCTTTACTTCAGGTTGGTAAATGTCTCCTGAGGACTTCCGGATACAAGGACTTGTGGTTAGGGCTGTGAAGAAAACCATTCTAAATAAGGTAGTCTCGCGACCTTCAAATTGTTTCAGAGATGTATGCAAACTGATAGTGCAGACCCTTTCTGCCATGGACCTTGTCTAAAGCAGTGCTAGCTGTGGTCACACACAAACCCCAAATCATGTAACAGACCTGAGCACAACGGAAGTGTATTTCTCCCTCTCTCCTCCAAAGGGTGATGGAGGGACCTAGGCTCCTCTCTTATTGGGGCTCCTCATTGTATCCCACGGCTCCCAAGGATTCTGTGCTTGTCTGCACCCAACCTGGCTAGAGTTTGGCCTACAGTGAACCCTCATTTATCGCGGTTAATCGGTTCTAGACCCTACCGTGATAAATGAAATTCCGCGAAGTAGGATTCCTTATTTGTAAATCAAATATTTTCGTAGTTAGCGCATAGAGGACATGAAAAAACACCCTTTAGTCACCATTACACTCGTATTACCCAATTTATTAAACGAAAAAGGGAAAATACAGTAAAACATTTTGGACATTACAATTATCATTTATTATTTATTATATTATTTATGGCATCAAGCATGTACAGTATGAGCCAATCAGTGGCAGTAATGACAGAGCATGCACTGTTACACAAAAACCGCGATAGAGTGAAGCCGTGGAAGTCGAAGCGCGAAGTGGCGAGGGTTCACTGTATATCTTTTCCACTCAGATTCCATTGGCCAGCACTCAGTCACATTACCACACCTCCCCGCTGGGGAAGCTGGGAATGTCAGGCTGTGCTTAGTATGTCAGGCGTAGCCAAACCCATCTCTACCACGCACCCTTGGGGCCTTTATTAGATCCCAGTGTAGACATTATCATCATGCTGACCCCTGGATCATCTGCCACACACCCCTGTCCTCTGAGCTAAGTCGGTCCCTTCCTTCCTAAGACTCCTCTTCCCTGGGAGAGCCTTTCCTCCTCAACATCCCATGGGTTTTGTGACTGGCCCAGGTCCTGCCTCTTTGGGTAGAAGTCCTGGTCTTTGTGCACGTACTGTTTGCCTAGGCCTGAGCAATACAGTTTGTGAGCACATGTATTGTTCCAGAGCATGTGGCTTTCTGACGAAGAAGCTGTGCCCTATTGAACTGTCTCTAAAGTATTCAGCTGTGGGTGATCTGTGAAGCATCTGGGGGTTGGAGTGGGGCTTGGTGTTCATTGAGAGTCCTGTTGTCTGTGTCAACAGTCCTGTCCTTGGGACCCGGCAGGCTCCAGGAACATGCCGTGGCGCCAGCACATCTCTCTTACCTACTCGTCTGCAAAATCACAATGTAACCAATCCTTATGTCTGGATTAATTTATTCATTCAAACCCTGTGCTAGATTCTGAGACAAGCAGAGCACAAGACCGACCAGAGCCTCTTTCCTCATGGGGCTGTATTCTGGGGAGAGGGAGAAACTAGCAGGAGGAAGGATGGGTGCGTAAGTGAATGAAGAAACCATCTATCTAGCGTGTGTGAGCCTAGGAGCCCTGCTAGTGTAAAGGGTAAGCACTTGGCTATTCAAATTCACCAGCGGCTGGGCGGGAGAAAAGGCCTGGTGATCAGCTCCGGTAAAGATTTCTGCCTAGGAAACCCCTTGGGGCAACTCTACACCGTCCAGTAGTGTCACAAGGAGTTGGACACCCGACAGCTCACAGCAGCAACCCGTGTGGTCAGTAGCTACAAGAACTCCAGCGGAGTGGACTGTGTAAGGGGCAGAGAGGGGCATGAGGCCACGGAGAAGGTGGTATTCAAAGAGCTGGAGGAGGTGAGGTAGGAGCTTGGCAGATGACTGGGGAGGCGAGTAACTGGCAGACAACACAGAACAGGCAGAGGCCCCGAGGCTGGGCTGTGTCTGGTGTATTTGATGACGACCGAGAAGGGGTGAGCCTCTTCTAGGGCCACTGTCTAGGGCAGGGTTTCCCAAAGCGGATGATACTGCTCCCCTGGGGGTGGGGGAGGAGGGTTGCAGGAAGCCACTGCCAAAGCAGGTACCTACACCTTTTCCTTCTGAGAGGACGTGCCGCCAACGTCCTCCTCAGGAGTGAGGGCTGGTGAGACTGCATTTCGTGGACTGTGGACACGTGGCCCGGTGAGGGCAGTCCCTGGAGAAAGACGTCCTGGTTGGGAAAGTAGAGGAGCAACGAAAAGGAGGAAGGGCCTGGACCAGAGGGGTGGACACCGTGGCTGCAGCCATGGACTCCCACATAAGAACCCTTGCCAGGATGGTGCCGGACCTGCCCGTGCTTCATTCTGGGTGCATAGGCTCCCTATGGGTCAGGACCGACTCGGTGGCCCTTAACGACACTGTATCTTGGATGATAGGTTTTAGCACAAATGTTTTCGATTGTGGGGAGGGAGGCACTGAGTCATTTTTTTCTTTCTGAAAAGGGGGCAGTAGGCAAAATAAACTTGGGAAACTCTGCTCTAGAAGCATTCAGCGCAGTTCATCATCTGCCCCACCATCGTCGGCTGCCCTACAGTGCAGCCCGGGACAAAACCAGGCTTGCCTGAACACACCCCTGGTAATGGAATGGTCTACCCTTACTCCAAGGAAGGTGGTCGTGTGCCAAGGTCTGCAGATGGTGGGTGCCCAGGCTTGTGTTGCGAGACCTACCATTCTCATGAGGTGGTTCCGTGGATGCCAGATGTGTCCCAACTGCAGGCAGCGCATCGTGAAAGTGTTGGAGGCATGGGCCGTGTGTCAGTAAAAAGTGAAAGAAAAAAGAAAAAGTGTGATGTCCAGCGTGCTGGGGTACAGCAAGTGGGGGCAGAGTGGAGGAGATGAGGGCAGGAAGCAGGGCCGCAGTCCGCCTGCCACGCAACCCTGACCTCACACAGCCGGAGCCCCACGCTCTCCTCCCGGCCCCTTACCCTCCCTCCTCTCACCCATCGGATGGCCTTCCGGGATTTTGTGTTTTAGCCTTTCCGTTTATGTCTGGCCACAGTTAGGACACGAGGAGGTTCCCCTAAGAAGCACACGGCCTTGCTTTGCAGACGTTAGATTGTCCTTCGAACGGCTTCACGTTGCCCTTAGGTGCTGTGGAGTCCCTTCAGCTCATCATGGGACCTCTGCCCCGGCCAGCGCCCCCTCCCAATCGTTGCTGTATTTGAATGATTGTTGCAGCCACTGTAGCCATCCACCTCGTGGACAGTCTTCCTCGGCATTCCCAAGCACCGTGCCCTTTCCCAGAGTCCGGGCGCTCCTGACAATTGACTAAAGGCTGGGCGATGAAGTCTTGCCATCCTCATTTCTAAGGAGCCTTCTGCTCGTTCGCCTTCCAAGACGTGTTGGCTCCTGCCGTGGCACCCCCCATGAGATTGGTTGGCCCGAGTGGTGTTCATACACCCACGGTCACTGCCATCTAGGACGCTGTGGTATGACTCTCTGCCCATGTGTTTAGCCATTTGGGTGGCGCCCAGCTTTGGGCTATTTAGAGCCAAGCTGCCCCTCTTCCCTCGTGAGTGTGTTTCTCTAGGGCACGTGCCCAGGAGTAGAACTGCTGAGTCGTCGACTCTACATGTCTTTAGCTTCACTCGGTTTTGCCAAATTGCTCTGCAAAGTAGTTGTGCCAATTGATGCTCCCTGGGGGCAGGCTTCTACTGGCAGGGGCTGACTTGCCCTGGCTGGTAGGGAAGCGTCTTCAAGAAACCTTGATTCCTTCTGCTGTGGCGTGTGGAACACCCAAGGGGCTTGCTTGTTGTCGAGCACGAAGTAGACTTCAATAAG